CGTCAGTCTGCCAAATTTTTGCACCTTGCCGAGGACTTTTTCCAACGGCTGATCAGTCAAGACCACTATCTGATGAGAGTCAAAGTAGGGCCTTAACTTCCGAGCTGCTACCACCACTGAGTATGCAACCTTTTCGAGCAAGGGATAGCGTGTCTCGGCATCTGTCAGCCACAAAGTAGATCGGCTGTTGGATTTTTTCTTCTTCTCTCAGCAAAACCGCACTGATGGTGGCTGGACTAACCGCCACATACAAGTACAAAGTCTTTCCTTCGGCTGGTCTCGCCAGCGTTGGGAGATGAGTTAAGTGCTCTCGGAGTTGCTGGAAAGCTGCTTTCTGCTCTTCCTCCCATGTGAGCTCTTTCGATTTCGGAAGTTTGACCGCCTTTAAGAAAGGTAACCCTTTGTCTGAGGCTCTTGAGATGAATCTGGACACGGCAACCATTCTCCCTGTAAGACGCTGAACATCCCTTTTTGTCTTCGGCTCGGGAAGGTCAAGAGCTGCTTCTACTTTAGCAGGATTGGCATCAATCCCCCTTTTGCTGACCATGAAGCCGAGGAACTTTCCTGACTTCACCCCAAAGACACACTTCTTCGGGTCAACTTCATCTGATGCTTTCTCAGAATGGCGAAAGTTTCGGCCAGGTCTGCAACATGGTCTTTAGCCTCTTTGCTTTTGACGATGGAATCATCAACATAGACCTCCATGTTGCGGCCTTTTTGCTCGGCGAATACGTGATCCACCAATCTCTGATACGTTGCCCAGACATTTTTCAAGCCGAAGGGCATCATCTTGTAATTATACACCCTGGCACTTGTAATGAATGTCGTTTTTGCTCTGTCATCGGGGTGCATGAAGATCTGATGGTACCCAGAAAATGCGTCCATGAAGCTAAGTAGGGTATGGCCACTTGTCGAATCGACTAGCTGATCAATTCTCGGTAAGGGATAAAAGTCCTTTGGACAGCCCTGTTTAGGTCCGTGAAGTCAACGCACATTCTCTAGGTGTCATTTGCCTTTTGAACCATCACCACATTCGCTAGCCATTCCAGACATTGGCAAGGTTCGATGAACCCCGCATCTAGAAATTTCTTGACTTCGGCTGTGATGTCTTGGTTCTTTTGCGCGGAGTAATTCCGCTTCTTTTACTTAATGGGCCAACATGTGGGGTCGACGTTAAGCTTGTGAGATGAGATTCGGATCAATCTCGGGCATATCTGCTGCCGAGAAAGCAAACACATCTCGGTTGTCCCGAAGGAATTGGATTAGCTCAACTCGGAAGCTCAGATCGAGTCCTTGTCCGATGCTGACACATTTTTCAGTATCTCCTTTGGTCAACGGTATTGACTCTGTTTGATCATCTAGCTCCATTGCTTTGGCGCCAGATTCTTCGGATTCCTGCTGTTAATATTAGCAGACCTTCTGACTTCAGCTGATCTTCCTCTGAGTCTTTCGGCCCAGCCGAAGAACCAGCCTTTTCGGTCCCCAAAGATGATCTTTTAGCTGGGGATCCTTGAGCCGAAGCACTTAAGCCCTTAGGCCTTTTGGTACCTCGATCTTTTTCTTTTTCTTTTTCTTCCTCATCATCCTTGTTGTTGCGGCGACTTATAGATGGTTTGTGGTAATTGCATTCTCGAGCCTCCTTTTGGCTGCCCAATATTTTTTCGAAGCGTCCTTTGTCTGAAACGTAGATCATGGCTTGATGGTACGTCGAGACAACTCCTTGAACATCGTGGATGAGGGTCTCCCCATGATCACGTTGTATACCGATGGGACATCAACGACCAAGAATTCGGCCATAATGCACCGTTTTGCCTGGTCTCGGCCGAGGCTAACGGGAAGAAGAATTTTCCCATCTGGATATGAAGAAGAGCCGTTGAACCCAGTTCCCGGGTGGGTAGGGAACTGGAGTTAGGTGTCTGCTCTCCAACTTCAGCTGGTCGAATGCTTTTCGGAAAAGTATATTCGCCCCGCTGCCACCGTCCACGAGTGTTCAATAGACATTGTGGTTTGCGATTCCCGTCATAATTACCAATGGGTCATCATGGGGGTACGCCACCCCCTTGCAGTCTTCGGCTGTGAACATCATGTTCAGCACCGGAGACTGTGGTTTTCGGAATTCAGCATTGTGTATTTGATGGGTCAATCCCCTCAAATTGCGTTTCAGCGTGTTCCGAGAAATTCCTCCAGAAATGGTGAGAATATTGGGGTTTCCCCCCTCATTCGGCTTGTCCCTTTTCCGGAGATAATCCAGATCTTGCCGAGAGTCCCTCTCGGCTTTCCTTTCTTCGTGGCACTTCGCGACGTATTTTTCCAAATATCCTTTTTGGACCATCTCTTCAATTTGGTCCTCAGCTGGAGGCAATCTTCGGTGCGATGCCCACTAGATTCGTGGAATTCGCACCATTGATCTTTCCCCTTCTTCTGATGCCATGAAGGAGGTGGCTTCGACTTCTTGAATCTTCCCTCCTCCTTAGTCGCACTAAAGATTTTAGTACGTGGTAAGGTAAGAGGGGTGTAAGATTCGAACCTCCCTGTGTAAGGGCCCTGTCCTTCTTTGGCTCGGCTGCCGAGGGAGGTTCTGAGGCTTTCACCTTCCCTATCCTCGGCGCCGGAATCTCGGCTTCACAGTCCCTGATTGAGATTGTGACTTAGCCTTGTTCCATTCCTCGACTCGGATGAATTTATCCAAAGCATCGAGGGCTTCTTCTAAGGTCTGTGGTGGGTGCATGACCATGAAGTCCAAAAATTTCCCAGCTTGAAGACCGTTTCGTAGTGCAAATACGGCGAGGTCTTTGTCCAGACTTGTGATTCTGGATGACTCGTTGCTGAAACGGGTCAGATAGTCTCGGAGACTTTCGTCCTCCGACTGCTGCAGGCTCATCAGCTCTGTGGTTGTTTTCTCTCGGCGGTTAGCCGTGGAGAATTTACTCTTGAACCTGGTCCAACCTGTTATAGAGCCTTCCTTGACCCCCTTGGTGATCCATGATTGGGCAACACCTTTGAGAGTCGTAGGAAAGTATTTACACCAGGTAGATTCGGACCTGGGGTTAAGGTACATATGCCCCTCGTAAGAGGCAATATGATCCTTCGGATCCGAAGTACCATCATAAGTGATGTGTGCCGGGATTTTCACCGTCGGCACATGCTCCTCCAATATTCACCTCTGAAAAGGTGAACTAGTGGGAACCATCACAGCCTTCCCCTTCTGCCTAGGCAAAGGAACCTCACTTCTCCCTCTTAGAGAGGTGGAAGTGAAGGGTGTCCCTTCGCGTGACAGTTCGGGGCGAGAGCCTTCGGGATAAGTGAGACGGCTGTGAATGTCCTTCTCCCTTTCACCTAGGCGCTCGTAAACGCTTCGGCGAGAAGCGTTGTGGCTGCTTGGGAAGTCCTTGGAGTTCTGGACTTGGGAATTTTCAAAGTGACCCGAGTCCCTTCTTTGTTCCCGACCTACATGGCCAAGTCTTCGGCCCTTCCGCTTCCTCCCCCCTTGGAGGATGGAATTTGTCCTTCGCCCTCCGGAACCAATTTTCTCTTCCGGCTTTCTGGCTTCGGCGGGGGTGAAGGAGGAGTATCATGCACGGATGGGAAGCGCCCACCCAAGGCTTTCATGAATTCCATGCAGACAGCCCTGGCCACTTCTTCCGTAGAAGGGACAGTAGGAGGAGTTGACTTCGGATGGGAGAGAGAATGCATGCTCTGCGGAGGGCTCTCCTCATGAGCTTCGCTCCCTTTCGGTGAGTTCACAGTTTGGCGAATCCATCGGGATGGAGATCCCTCGCGCAGATTCTCTCTCCTCGGAGAGTTAGAGGCAGATGGTTCAGGTGACGACGAGGGTGTCCTATTGGTCCTCGTCGTGATTATGCCCATCTTCCTCGCTTTTTTGGAGTTTTTACCGTTTTTAGTCATTTTTTGCGTTGGCTAAGGTAAGTGTGAGATTTTTGGCTTAGTTTTTTGTAAGTATCCCCACAGACGGCGCCAATTTGTTTCGGTTACAAAACAATGGACCTTCGGCAGGTCCTTCGTTAGGGTGGAGATGAGGCCCAATTCGAGAGATGTCCAAATTAAGGGTTTCCTAACTGGCCTCGGGGGTTGTGCCGAGGAAGGCCCCTCCGATGCCGAAGTCAGTGCGGTGTATAAAAGTAGAGAGAATAGCTATGCAAGAGGTTTGGTTGCTTGAGGCTATATGTGAATATCCGTAAATGTTGCCAAATGATGGCTTTTATACCTTTGTCCAAAGGAATGGAGTGGGCTTGAGGAGTCAAATGGGCTGACCATTTGACTGGGCTTCGTTGACTGACCTGACATATGGGCCGGAGGGCTGAGCCTTGCAATCGGGCGTTGATTATTTTCATTTATGGATTGGGCCCAAATAGAAGTTATTTGGACCCCAAACAGTACCTTTGAGCTAGACATAGATAATTGAGTGTCCATGCAAAAACAAGGCAGCGCGTCTGTGCAAAGTTTAAAGAGATGCTGGAAGCTTCATTGCTCCTCCATGCATCCATTATCATGGCTTGATTTGGTTTACTACTTCCTGGTTCTGTGCATGATTAAGCACTTAAATACCTATTATTATAAATTACTAATGAACTTACTTGTTAGTGATAAGAAGTTATAACTAAAAAATTGTTAATGTCATTTGGTGTCAGAAGATATGCCCCTAAGGATGTTTCAATTCTCTTTATATCAGAACACTTCATGTGTGAAGATCAGAAAAATTATGTCATTTCTTGCTTATCTAAGTTATTCTCTAGAATTCTTTAAGAGAGTTGTAATATTCACATTCATAAACCATTGTTAGACTAGCCTTGTAAGAACAGCCAAATCTAGTAGTTCTTTTTTGCATGTCAATAGTCTCACCATGTAACTCCATTATTATATTCAGGCCCAATCAAAACTTGCATATTCAGGCAATAAAATGATATAAAAAAATCGTGCCTTTAGATATTTTATGTCTGTTAGTTTACAAATTTATGAAGATAATTTGTCTGTTGCTACAGGTGACAACATATTTGGTTTAGATGCTACTGATGCAGCAAAATCAATGGATGCTGCATTTGCTCCTGCTGTAATGTCCAACATCCCCTGGGCTGCTGTTCTTGGAAACCATGATCAGGAATCCACTCTTTCAAGGGAGGGAGTCATGAAATATATAGTCAACATGAAAAGCACCTTATCTCTGTTGAATCCGCATGATGCTGGAAAAATTGATGGATTTGGAAACTACAACCTTGAGGTGGCTGGTGTCAAAGGTTTACCTTTCCAGAATAAGTCAGTTCTCAATCTTTATTTCCTTGACAGTGGAGACTACTCAACAATTCCTTTAATTTCTGGATATGGCTGGATTAAGACCTCTCAACAGTCTTGGTTTCTTCGTACTTCTAGGAGATTGAAGGTACTATTTTGTTAATCGCTTAAAAATAAATAATAATAAAAAAAAGACACAATATCCTTGTGTTTTGAATTTGAATTTTCATATAATCGTGTTAAAACATCATCTCTGGCATGCTTGACTGAAAAATTTATGAAATACTAATCCAACTTCAATCATTGAAATTTCCATTGTAGAAAGCATACATGAACTGCCAAGAACCCCAAAAGGACTCTGCTCCTGGCCTAGTGTATTTCCACATTCCGTTGCCTGAATATGCAAGTTTCGATACATCAAACTTTACAGGTGTTAAGCAGGAGGGCATTTCTTCACCGAGCATAAACTCGGGTTTTTTTACAGCCATGCTTGAAGCAGGTGATATCAGAGCGGTTTTTACAGGTCATGATCACAAAAATGATTTCTGCGGTAAAGTGATGGATATAAATCTTTGCTATGCTGGTGGTTTTGGATACCATGCCTATGGGAAGGCTGGTTGGGCTAGGAGGGCAAGAGTGTTGAAGATTAAGTTGAGAAAGATTGGTAAAGGTGGCTGGGGAGCAGTCAAGTCTATAAAAACATGGAAGCGCCTTGATGATTCAAACCTCACTACTATTGACACTCAGGTCCTTTGGAGCAAGAGCTCAATTGGTAAGTATTTTTTTAAAACTCGAGTTATACTGTATGAAATATGATAGGTGTCGTTGATTTTTAATGCAATAATTTTTATTGTCTAAATTTAATTGAAATTAGAAGTTATTAGCAATAAATTTTAGCTGGGTTATCGGTGAGTCGATTTCATTTCTCTGTCGTGAATTGTAAGTAATAATATTTAAGATGCGTACACAAACAAAAATGGTCATTTTCTCTTCATGTTCATGACTTCTTGTCTGATTTAAATTCTACAGCATATGTTATTAAGGTGTGAGTTTTGGCTAAAGATATATTATGCTTTCCACTCTTCCAGTTACATAATCTTCTGCACACTTTGTTACTTCAAGCGGATTTGTTCTATAGGCTCATACCTTTGTGTCCTTGAGATCTTAGAAGTCATGCACACATTACATGCTGTAGCATTTTCCCTTTTTTTTCAAGTGTGTCGTTGGAATTTTTTTTTTTCTTCTCAAAACTCTTTCATTATTTTACATTTTGGAGCTCCCCATAATTTATTTAGCCATTCTCCTCACCCCCTGTGACTTAGTTCTTCCTTTTCCTATTCATCCTTATTAATGGTGAATGGATGTTCGTGGTTTTGCACCTTAATCACCAGACTTAATTTTTTGATTCATTTGTTTTGTATTGTTCAGGATAACCACCTATATTTGTGAATGTGGTGAGTAATGAAAATGAATTTAAGAAAAATACTTGTTTTGTTTTAGAGATGCATCCATCATATGTATTTGATTTTGACAGGCATTATGAATACGATTTTACACAAATTTATTACTATTCCCTTAATCTGTTATATATGCCAAAGACCAAGCTTTTAATTTGCTTGTTAAATTATACAAAGTACTAAATTTGCATGGTCTGATTTCTGTCTTGCTGCACATACAGGAGCCCATAGGAAAAAGCGTATTGATGGTGCTTAGGCTTTGATAGCGCATGGTTCACAAAATCTGTCTAATAGAGATAATGGCCTTGTAAGTGCTCAAATGCATATAGTTACAGACTTACAGGTTTACAGTGAACTGTGTAAAACCTCGTCTACATATAGTCATAGAATGTAGAAAACTCTACTAGATATGTGATGGTCTTATTAAGCATGCGTTTGGGGCCTTAAGTTTCAAAGCCTGCGTTTTAAAGGTTTTCACTATCATTTGAGATAGAATAAAATTCAGAACCTCATTTACAAGATAGAATAAAATTCGGTTGAGTTGGTGCAAAAGTCTAAAAAGAGTATGTTAAAGGTTTTCACTATCATTTCCGGTTGCCCCCCCCCCCCCTCCAGGGGAAGTTCAGCTGGGATTCTGGTCGATGGCTTGGATCTCCCTATGTGTAAGCTAATTGTAATTTGTGATTGTCACTATAGAATTGAGAGTGTCACTATTAGTTGGGAATGAAAATTGCTAAGGAAAATGGTCAATTTGGGGGTGGTGAGCTAGCATATTTATATGTAAATTCATTATCATTACCATTATTTTTGGTCATCTACCAAACGTCTGGTGAAGGTTTTCTATTTGTAAAAATTTAAGAACATAAGGTGTTATCTTTCATAAATTGATTCTCCACGTGAAAAGTTAGCTAGAACTTAAATTTAAAAACACATGAAGATAATTTTGAAGGAAAATTTCGAATTCAAGATGAAAATAAGGTTTTTTATTTTATTTTTAAAAAAATTGACATTTGTACTTCAATTCCTAATCACGATACTATTAACACTTCTTATTTTAGCATGGCAACCTCATTTTAACTAATGTTCTACTCCGTATTATTTTCTCTCTTATGAACAAGTACTTTATTCGTTTACATGTATTATCGATGAATCTTAATGAAATTACACACACAAAAGTTCAACAAGTATTTAAGAATGCCCGTAAAAAAAAAAAAAAAAAAAAAAAAAAAAAAAAAAAAGTATTTAAAAATAAAGGGAGTAATATTATTCCTCTTTGTGGTAATATCTGAACATTTATCTCAACAAATGAGAAAAAATAGTTGGTTAATGAGATATACTACCTCCTGTGTATAAATGTTTAACATTAATCGCTATAATTCGTTTTAAAAAGTTGTTAACAATTTCTTGTTGTTTTTAGCAAATACATTAACCCTTTTTATCTCCCAATGATTTTTAATATGGAAAATGTTATACATAGCCCTAATGGCTACATATAAGGAGCTAAAAATGGGAAAAACAAATAATAATATAATATTAACTACATTGATTTACGCGTGATTTTGAAAACCGCCGTGAGGGGGGGCGCCTTGGCTGGACGCCTAGCCAGTGGTGGTGGCGCCAGCTGCAGACGCCGCAACCAGTGGGCTGGTGCCTGGGCTGGACGTCGTAGCCACGGTTGTGGCGTTTTTCCAAGGCGCAGCAGCCGTGGCTACGGCGTCCAGCCCAGGCGCCAGCCCACTGGTTGCGATGTCTGCAGCTAGCGCCACCACTGGCTGGGCGTCCAGCCAAGGTGCCCCCCGCTTTTTTTTTTTTTTTATGTTTATTAATTTTTTTTTTTGTGTAATTTCTTTTTCAATTGTTTGTATATTTTGTTGTTTATTTTTATAAATTTTTTCAATTTTGTTGTATTTTTCTTATGTTTATATTTTGTTTACAATTATTTGTTTGTTTTATTTGTACATTTTTGTATTTATTCTCTATTTCAATTTGTTAGTACATTTTTATGTTCATTTGATATTGTTTTTGGTTAGTTAATTAATTTTAATTTTTATTATTGATTTATGAAGTCTTAAAAGGACGCTAGACAAAAATCAATATAAGTTCAGTAAATTATGAAATAAAGCGATTACACCTGATTGAAAACCAAAACTAAATTGCGAATGAATTAGTTATGTTTATATATATTTTTATGTGTTGGTTTTATTTCCTTTGTTAGTGTATTTTTTATTCTATTATTTTTTTTAAGTGTTTTGTTAATTTCTTTATTATGTTAATTTGTTAGTATGTTTTTAGTTTATTTGATTTGGGTATTGGTAGCTATTTTTCTTATAATTTTTTTTATGTTTATATATTTTTTAATTTTTTGAAGGTGTCGCATTTTCGTCATGGTGCGGGGAAGAATATAGACCTTATTAGAAGTGGAAACTACTCGATGGAGAGCTCGACGCCCAGATATCTTAGATCCTGTGGCATTTCGGCCTCGGCTCGTAGAGAACGGGTTCACTATCGGGATGAGGATGAAGATGATGATAGTGAGGAGGAGGAGGAGGAGGGCGCATATGAGGATGTGGACGATGGGAGTGGACCGTACGATGATTACGGTCCATTCATTTAGAGGCTAGATGACATGTACGAGACGCATAGGGTAGATGTGCGTAAGGGTAGGGATGGTAGGTTTATGAGTAGATCTGGCACATCATCAGCGTCCACCGTGTCTGGGGCAAGTAGAAAACGGTTGAGGGTCGTTAATGATTCTTGGGTGGTTAGGGGTGCGGTGCTTGGGGGGCCTGTAGACGGGAGTGTGATTCCTAGCTTTCTAGGACACATAGCTACCCGTATCTGGGAGGACCAGGACATGGGTTTGGTGACGGGCATTTTGAAATGCCAAACCCGGGAAAAGACTTGTAGCGTTTTGAGCAGATAGGCTGAGGCTTGGTCAGTGGAGAGCAAGATTTTCGACCGACTGCAGGGCACTGGGGTGAATCACCTTCCTGCCACCATGCACGATAAGATTGATTGGATGCTGATCACGGCTTTCGTTGAGCGATGGCAGCCGCATACGAACTCTTTCCACCTTCCATTCGGTGAGATGACGATCATGTTGCATGACGTCGGGGCCATTCTTGGGATTCGCGCAGAGGGTAAACGCCTTTCTGGTGTAACTGATGCGGATCAGGCAGATTTGCTGGCGGAGCTGTTGGCGGTGGACAGGGCTGCGCTGTATACCGGGGCGCTTGGTGTTTGGGACCACGGCGGTGTAAAGATCGCATCCGTCTTGCAGCGTTGTTTGCACCCCGGTGCACGTAGGACGCACGATGCACAGCTGGCTGCTTATGTTTTTCTTCTCTTCGGGTGTACCTTGTTTCCGGATAAGAGCGAAAACAAGCTCAGGCCAAGCGACATAGTTGATGCGTGTGAGCCCGACAATGTTGGTCAGTTTTCTTGGGGGTCGGCTACGTTGGCGTATCTGTATCGCCAACTAGGATTTTCGAGTCGGGCTGACGCGGCAGGTATCACTAGATGTCTGACTTCATTGCAGACCTGGATATACGAGTATTTTCCTGCATTTCGACCACACCGTGACTCAGTTCCAATTGTTGATGGGATGCCCCGTGCCTGTGCGTGGAGTCTGCGGTTGGAGAAGAAATCTGTTGACTGCCTCCGATCAATACGGTTATCGCTTGACAGGATGTCCCCCTTAGAGGTAAAGTGTATGAATTATTTCAAAATTTGTACTGTAATGCATTTATTATGAATCTTACTAATTTGAAACATTTTGTGCAGGTGAACTGGATGCCTTTTGGCCAGAACCCTAGTAATAGGATACCCAGGACCCTCTACACGGGACTCATACAGTATCGTGAGATCATGGAGGTGTACATGCCCCAGCGTTTTCTTCGCCAGCTTGGGTTCGTCCAAGTTGTCCCTCCTCCACCGGCATGGCCGAGTAAGACGGTCCGATCTGCGTCGTCGAAGGAGTACGTCGTCCAATGGCCGGATAGCATGATTGCCACGTGGGAGCAGTTCCCGATGGTTGCCCGCTTATGGACTGCGGAGCTGCAGAGGCCGCCTACTAGGGTGCCTCCCATGTGTGACCAGCACTACATGGAATGGTACAACCGGTATTCGCACCCGAGGTTGATTAGAGACCTCGACCATGGCGATGACGCCGATGATCATGATCCACCGCCAACTGCCGTAGATGCGATATGTCTGAACAAAAATTTATTTTTGCGTTTTTTTAAAGTTTTATATATCGTTATTCAATTTCATGTTTTTTTTTTTTTTTTTTTTTTGTGTAGTGGATGGGAAAGGTAATGCAAGGCGTACAAAAACTCTCCCTGGAGAATGACAACATGAGTGCAGCAGCGAGAGCTGCTGTTGAAGAGTTGGAACAGACCCTTGCGCATTGGGAATCGGCGGCAAAGAGGGATTACTGATGTTATTGGCATTTTGTTTGTTGAATATATTTTACATTATCAAATTAGTTGTGAAATACGACATTATCTTTGTAGTTTGCAGAATTTAGTACAATCGTTTTAGTTTTTAACATTTACAATTATCGTTTTAGTTTCTAACATTTGCAATTATCGTTTTAGTTTTTAACATTTGAAATTATCGGTTTAGTCATGATCATTTGAAATTATCATTTTAGTTTCTAACAAATGAAATTATCGTTTTAGGTTCTAACATTTGAAATTATCGTATTAGGTTTTAACATTTGAAATTATCGTTTTAGTTTCTAACATTTGAAATTATCGTTTTAGGTTCTAACAAATGAAATTATCGTTTTAGGTTCTAACATTTGAAATTATCGTTTTAGGTTTTAACATCATGAAATTATCGTTTTAGTTTCTAACATTTGAAATTATCATTTTAGTTTCTAACAAATGAAATTATCGTTTTAGTTTCTAACAAATGAAATTATCGTTTTAGGTTCTAACATTTGAAATTATCGTTTTAGGTTTTAAAATCATGAAAAATAAGGTTATACAGAAATTGTGTACAAAAGAAAAACTAAAAAGCTGCTAGGGTGTTCCATTGATGGATCCGGTCATGATACAGCGCATCCCAACCCTCTACGCTTGCTTTACGAATGTCGTACCACCGAGGTATGATCGGTGGGACAGGAAAATTGGATGACAGGTCAAGCCGGATGAAATGTTTGTATGACGACCCAAGAAATGTAATAGCTAACTCTCTGACCGGTGTAGTGACGGTCTCACACGATGACCAAGGGAGAACTGTTGTACAAGGATAATAAGCTCGACTATGCAATCCCAGCCCGAAATGCATTACTGCGCACTTGTAAATGTTTGCAACGGCAAAAAGATCTAGTGGCGCGTCGAAATAGTGATTTAGACCGCAAGGTCCTCCTCCCCACCGGACACGCTGCAGAGCACTATCCAAGCCGTCCTGGTACACATGACGATAAACATCTCGGTTAGAGGCAATTTCACTGTACATCAATTGACGCACTAAATCGTAGTTGTCTTCGCCCATCTGAAATACATCAGCCACGACCCGGAATCCGCAGTTACCATCTCCAACTACATCATTCTAGCCGTCCAAGAATGACATGATGATGTTAGGTATCCTATCCTTGTATGGAAACTGGTCAATATCAAATGTTCCTGTTGAACATATCATTAAACACAGTGAACAAGTCAGCAGTAAACTCAAAACCATTATAACACGTAAATTAAAGTAAGCTATTGTACCAGTGCCGGGCATATTCACAGACGAAGAAGACCGGCTACGACTGGATGACGTTGTACGACCACGACCACGACCACGAATGTAATCAAACGCACTCCTGTTCCGCCGTTGACGACCTCTAGGTCGCTCGACCCCTTCAGGTTCCTCGTGATCTAAGCAGGACGTGTTGAACATGTCATGCAGTACGTGAGTAGCATCATGAATAATGGAAGGATGACTGGAGGATACTCGATCGTACATCGAACGAAACTGCTCCAACTCCTCCTGTTCACGGTCGACCGTCTGCGTATCTGCATGCTCACCAATAACGAGCGTTCTCCAGAATGGATGAACCTGATCAACGTGTAACAACGTCCTATCTTGGGTAATTACGCGGTGAATGGTGCATGCGCAAGGTAATCCATGAGTTACTGATATAGCACATCCACACCGAACATCAACTTCATCCGCCAACTCCCTCATCTTGTTGTGCTTGGCCAGAATCAACCCCAAACAGTAGTGTGACACACGCCCATGTAGAATCTTAAATATGAAATGGCAATACATCGTACCATGTCGCCGCCTAGAGTCCTCCAGAGAGTTCCTGATGCCATTCTTCTGAGTTTCAATTGCCTTGTTTATTCTCTCAAATAGTGTATCCAAAGCAGCGGTGGAAGAATCAGTCCTGTCCTTAGTAGCTCTATGAGCACTCTCAACTCTGCATGTTGTAGTGTTTCCAAAATGAAGTACTTGGTTTGTCCAATATTTGACAAACTTTTCCCTGTGAGGTACCCACTGCTGCATCACATAGTTCACCACTGCCGGACACCATTGGTACGAATCCCTGAAGTTAGCCAATGCTCGATCGTACACTGCCTCTGTGGTAGCTTGTAGGATCTTCCGCCACTTACCATTCACCAATCTCTTTGCCATTTCCAAATTCTTGTTGAAAAGGTTGTAGGCTTTCACTTTCACACAGTTGTTGATGTGCCATGTGCACAACAAGTGCTTCGATTGTGGAAACAGCTCTACTATGGGGGCAAAGAGACCTCCCTCACAATTACTGACGATGGCTGATGGCTGAACATTAGGGCCGATGTAGTTTCTCAGCTTCTCCAAGACCCAATAATAACTCGCAGCCGTCTCATCCTTGATGACTGCATGACCAATCAGAAAGTTCTGGTTTGTTGGAGTCATCCCAATCATCTCAACCAGTGGGAACCTGTACTTGTTTGTCTTGTACGTTGAATCGATCAAAATCACAGATGGCCAAGACTTGATCATATCAGCACAATCAGGATGCACAAGGAATAAATGAGTCACCTCCGCTGTATCTTCATCAGAATCATACCAGAACAGGTAACCACGTGCTTGTGCCTGGTGTAGAAGCTGTTGTATAGGGTTCCTTCCCTCTGACCGTTCAAACCTCAGTTGCTGTCTGACGTTGTAGATGTGTCTTCGGTTTGGCTGGTCTTTAGGAAATTTCTCTAACACAGATGCTAATATTTTACCAGGCTTCACTTGAGCATCACTCATTTCTTTGACAACCAGTTTTGCAGCGGGACTTAAGCCGCTCAACTATCGATGACCCACTTCATATACTATCATCTCATGGTTGTGATACCCCCATTTGGAGTAACCCTTCACTTCCCAACCTTCACGACTCTCTAGTTGCCGAACCTTTACTCTAAACTCACACCCACAACCTTTCCGCTTTGTATTAAACCGAGTGGCTGTACTGAAATCTCTTTCTTCTCTTTTGCGATAACGATCGCATCTCAAAATGTGATCCATTCTACCATCCCGTTGAGATTTATGACTTGTTACTACCAAGCAAAAACCAGAAGTAATTGCAACCTGTTTAGCCCAATCAATTGCTTGTTGAACATCTTTGAAGGGACCATCATGTACAAATATCCCACTGTAATCATTTCCGTCTCCACCATAATCCTGCATCAATTAGATATTATATTTAAATACCTATATTAATGTAAAGCGTAAATTAACACAAAATTCAAAACATAATTATGTATAACAGTGTTCATACACATACAAAATTAAAACATAATCATTTATAAAAATATTCATACACATACAAAATTAAAACATAATTATGTGTAAAAGTATTCATACACAAACACATAATTAATTTTTTTGTAAATTATTAACACAAATCTAATTTCCACATACAAAATTATAAAATAAATTTATTAGCAAATATGTAAAACATAATTTCAAGTTATTCATTTTTTTTTACAATTTAAATTTAGGGATATCAAATTTATTAAATAAAAAAAAACAAACAAATTAAAAATCTAATTTCCACATACAAAATTATAAAATAAATTTATTAGCAAATATGTAAAACATAATTTCAAGTTATACATTTTTTTTTTACAATTTAAATTTAGGGATATCAAATTTATTAAATAAAAAAAAACAAACAAATTAAAAATCTAATTTCCACATACAAAATTATAAAATAAATTTATTAACAAATATTTAAAAAGTAATTTCAAATAAAACATTTTTTTTAACAATTTCAATTTATCAAATTTATAAACAAAAAAAAAACAAAAAAATTAAAAAAAAAAAAACAAAGGCAGTGGCGCCTGGCTGGACCACCACCACCATGGCAGTGGCGCCTGGCCAGGACGCTAGGACCGTGGGAGTGGCGCCTAGCCTGGAAGCCACCACCACGGTTCCGGCGTCCTGGCCAGGCGCCATCGCCACGGTGCCGGCGTCCTAGTCAGGCGCCACGACCATGGCACCGGCGTCCAGGCCAAGCGCCCCAACCATGACGGTGGTGGTCCATGATGATTTACCTCGTTTTGGTGCGACGAAGACGGCTCTTCGGCGTCCCTCGGCTCTTCGGTCTCCCGCGGGGACCCAGTACGGCTCCACATTTTTCGATGTCAGAATTTTCCGTTTTTGGTAAGATTTCACAAATGGCCAAAACCGTCAAACCAAGTGTCTTTTTCAATTCGATTTTTCGATGTCATAATTTTCCGTTTATGGTAAGATTTCACAAATGGCCAAAAGCGTCAAACCAAGTGTCTTTTGTAATTTGATTATTCGATGTCATAATTTTCTGTTTTTGGTAACATTTCACAAATGGGCAAAATTGTCAAACCAAGTATATTTTGTGGGCTTTATGTAGTAATTTGTGGGCGATATTTAACAAATCCCCTCCCCCCCGGTGAGTAGAATTTCTTAGGAAATGCAATTTCCTATAGTGTCAACCAAACAATTTAGCTTAATTCCTAGGAAAATTCTAAGGGAAAAATTTCCTATGAAACATAAATTCCTATGGAAAGTTAATTCCCATGTGAACCAAATGAGCACTTAATATACTTTTTTAGCCTTATACTTGGTGAAATTATCTTAATACACTTTTTTAGCCTTATACTTGGTGAAATTATAAAAGATTGGTAAAATTAGAGTGGTACGGAATATTATGGAGTACTCCCTCCATCCCTTTATTAAGAACCTATTTGCATTTTTTTTCGGAAATTAAGAAAGTTGGTGAAAGTAGTGTATGTGGGGTTAGAGAAAGATCAAAAGAAAAAAAAATAGTTGAGAATAATTGAAGAGATGGATAGAGAAAGTATTGGGAATTAATGAAAAAGTACAAAAAAGAGATGACAACTCATCAAAAAATGGAGAATATTATCATATAGTACAACCTTAAAATAGAAATAGGTTTGTAATTTTGAGCTCCCTAAAAAGAAATACTAGTTCTTAATAAAAGGATAGAGGAAGTACGAAGCAATACTAAGAGGCCAAAACAAATGTAACAAGAGTCTACATAAATACACTATATATTCTTTTATGCAAATAACAAACAATATGTGTAACTAAAGAGGAGTGTGAATGGTATCAACCGTGCAAGTGTTGCAATAAAGACTAAATACAATATGATAACTTTATTTTTTTGGACGAATTGGTTTATTTGAAACTTATTTATCATTTTGTGGGGGTACTAAACTTATTTACAAAGTTGTTGTCCACGTAG